CAAAGGGTTGTGAATCTGTGGAATTCCCTGCCCAGTGAAGCAGTTGAAGCTACCTCGCTGAATGTTTTTAAGGCAAGGCTAGATAAATTTTTGAAAAGTAGAGGAATTAAGGGTTATGGTGAGTGGGCGGGTAAGTGGAGCTGAGTCTCAAAGACCAGCCATGATCTTATTAAATGGTGGGGCAGGCTCGCGGGGCCAGATGGCCTACTCTTGCTCCTAGTTCTTATGTTCTTATGTTCAAACTAAACCAAAAAGGTGCCCTTCAGGGCCAACCAACCAAGATAATTGGTCCAGTACTACGCAGTAACTCGTCAATGTAGAAGGAAATGTATAAGTATGTTGAGAAAGTCAAATAGTCAGAATGAATTATACCGAAAGCAAGAAAACATGACAATTCTATCGACAGTGTCTCTAAGTGATGGAAATGCAAGTTCTATACAAGTCAGTCATTAATTGTGTCAAATGCACGCCTCTAGTCAAATATTTTGACAATTGTTCCATCTGCTACTACTTTGTCCACTTCCCAACATGAACTGGTGGATCATCTAAAATGTATAATGCATTGTACACAAAAAGTAGCTCCAGGCTTACAATAATTGATATGTGAATAGAACTCCACTATTACACCTTTTGTATGAGAACTAAGACTGTAAATAAAATTCTGTGTGCACAATGCAAGCCTCAATGATCTTTTGTTGATCTGTGTGTGTTTTGTCCCATATCATTTCGAAGAACATTATCATAACCTGCCCATATTTTGAATAAAGCATTAGTCAAACAGTCATAGCTGTTGGTATATTTGCAGCTGTGTCAGTTTTTATTACACAGGGGAACTGTCAGGGAGTCAGCAACATAATTTATGATCTTGAAGATTCAGAAAAGGATTTTTTTTACTTCAAAAAGCATCTGTCTATATGTAAAAAATATTTAATTCCTTTATCAAATATATTTTCTAAGACTTTATTTTGTGTGTTTGTTAGTTTACTGTGAGGGACTATCAGTAATAATATCAGGCATTTTGTAAACATTCCTTTGCAATGTTAGTTTAGGTTTCAAGATAATACAGTTGCATCTTCAAGCTGTGCTACTGCTGATGCAATGGGCAACAGTTTGCATACAAACAAGAAATTGTCGACTCTGCTCCTTTACATTGTGGTGACATCAAACAAAACTTTTCACTATCCTAAATAAAAGTGAGCAGGCATCTATTGTGCTGCCAAACAGTACATAAAATGTGCTCAAAACAATGCCATGAATAAACATGAAAATAGTAATGTAAACAGAAAAGCTTGGACCTTGGTGTTTATTTAAAGATCTTGTAAGGGAAATGAAAGTCCAAAATACTGAATGAACTATTGTCACGAAAGATACATGTCTGAACTAGCTGATAAAAAAATAATCAAGATGAAACCAGTTCAGAAAAGAAGTCAGGATTTCAGTCACCCATGACACTATTTATAGGTTAAATAAAATCCACTTTGCAACATCGTCAACCTTATAAAATGTTGAGACATGTATTTTTCATGACAACTGCTAAATCACTATTTAAAATTTGTATCTCTCTCACGCAATCTTAAAATAGGCATCAACAAACTACCTCACACTGTCAATTTGTTATTCTTCACTTTGTAGAAGTAATAACCTTGAAATCCTCAGAACCACCAATGCATTTGATACAATGAACCCCCTGCTTCCATAAATTATGAATTGCTTCCATAACATTTTTGCCTTTCAATTCATATTGTACAACATTTTAGAAAATGAGTCTGAACGATTTAGAACAAGGCTGTCATGCTTTTGGACACTGGATTGCTTTTGTAAACCAGGCAATGTATAATTCCAAATTAACGGAACATGGATGCAGGACGAGGAATTTTAGTTTGAAATCCGTTCCATTCATCACTGAATGCAGCACCAATGTCTGAGCAGATTTTATCTAAGCAGACACACAGGTAGCACGGAGGCCTGTTGTGGGTTAAAAACCTATTGTTTCATCAGGACATTTTACTTTGGCTTCTTAGCTCGGCCAGTGTCACACTCCTGCACTGGCCAGCCTATGAGAAAGTGAATGGGTGAGATGCGTGTCAAAGGAAAAATTTCTAGTTATAGAACATTGAACATAGAACTGTACAGCACAGTACAGTAGTTATAGAGGCTCTTGCAATGGTCAGAATCGCTGAACTATACAATTATTTCCATAACCCTTCAGCAACAAGCATGGAAAGGAGCCTTAGGAAGGCCACCCCACTATCAGGTTCTCTGTCCACCCCATCTCCACTCATCACACAGCCCCATCTGGTGTCTCACACTTCTTTAGATGTTCTCTGTCCTTCTTTTCTCTGCACCTATTCCATTTCTCACACTTACACCGCTTTCATTTCTCTCCTGGCAAAGCAAAAGCGAGACAGGTCAACCCAAGGAGAGGCAGGGAATCAGGGTTAGCGAACTTCCCGCTACACCATCTTAACAAACACTGACAATGCATGCTGACCTGATCTGCTGGTAAAGAGGTAGTGCTAATTCAAGATGAGAGAGCTGATCATCTGCCTGTAGGCTGTGTTGACGGTCTCGCCTCAGTGTGCTGGTTTCCCCGGCCTTACAGAGCAACATGTGTCTGGGAGGACAGATGGTGTGGTTATTGATCCTCCTGATACTGTTGGTGTTTTATGCAGCTCTTCTTGTTCATAGCTACAAAGTAGACTGCATAAGGTGCTCCCAAGACATAACAAAGGCTCAGATAAAGCAAAATACTGCAGATGCTGGAAATCTAAACAAACAGAGAATGCTGGAGAAATCTTTCTTTTGAAGAAGATTATTTGGACTCAAACTGTTAACCCTGTTTTTCTATGTTTACAAATGCTGCCAAACCCACTGAGTTTCTCCAGCATCCTCTGTGCTTGTTCCAATAATGAAAACTGGCATCAGGGAACTCCATGCTAGGTAAGTGAAGTGCAACACGTGAAGAGAGTTTCAAGAAGATGGAAATCGTCATGAAAGCATTCTCTCAGAAGAAGGGCAGTGGGTCTCTGACTGAGGCAAGGCTACACCTAATCAATTTTACTGTCTGCAAGTGTCCCAGGCTACTGATTTCACGGAAGAACCAATCCCCACTGTGCTCTCACCTTGTTGACCCTGGTGAGTTCCACACAGCTCATGAAACCCATACGTTGGCTGTTAAATCTGAGATAATTGCTGCTTTGAATATTTAGAACATATACTCAATAGCTACACAATGGCTCCCTGCTCACCTGCAAAGCTGAATCACTGAGCTCCCAACTCAATGCCATGTTTCAGGGCATTAATCCTTCTCCACCACCCAAATTTACTTCCCTCTAAAATTCTCATCATTTAACCACCAATATGTTTAAGACATCAGTCAGGCAGTCTCATAAACCCCACTTTTTATAATGAGAATTTGCACTGCCCATATATGGCATACGTAAAGGTCAGAATCCCCATACCTTCCAGCAAGAGACTTCATAAAGTGAAAGTGAGGTAGTTCTGATTGCTCGAATGACGTTTCTGCAAATGATTTACATTCCTCAGAATTTGAGGTGTTCAGGAAGAGAGAAACTTACGGCAGTCTTGCACTAGGCCCTGCTTCTACATCACTCCAGAACTGACCCTCTGTACCCTCTCTTGAAAACAAAATCATTTCACTCACCTCCAAATGCATTTCTCCACCACAACGCTGCAGCTCTAATTCACTCCGGTGTCTTCTGTCCTCAGACTGTAGCTTCCTGTGTATTGCTCCTCTCTTTGGGGTTAACCATTCATTTCCCTCATTCCAACAATTTGAAACTCTTTCCTTAAATGCCCCTTTCCTTAGCTTTGCACCTTGTAAAAACCCTTCTTTAAAATCTCTTCAACCAATGCTTTCACATGTCTCATTTAACTCTCCTGCAGGGCTGCCATTCCTTTCAATTTCTTTCTGCACATTACCTTGACCATACAAGGACAGAATGAAGTTCGACTGTGATAATTCACTGTGATCTGACAGGCTCTCATTCTCACGACACACAACATATGGAGAAAGGCCATCTCAGAGAGATGAAACTACACCCAGAATGGGTCAGCTTACTCAGGTCAGGCAGGAAACCCAGCAAAGAAACTGAAGGGGCTTTTGGGGAGGGTGTGTAATAATTATGAACTCCTACTTGTTGCGTGGCCTTCCGATCAAGGATTTGTTGAACCCTCAGGTGCTGGTTCAGGGATCCTGAGAGAAGGCAAAATTTTAGTGGAGGCTTCAAAAATGTGGGAAAGTAAATGGTAGAAGAAAGCCTATGCGTTTTGACATAAGATTAAATATTGTCTATTAATGATTTTACTTTCTTTAAATTAGTTATGGAATCATTTTTCCGTAACACTTTAAATAGGACGAAACAGCATAAGGACTCTAACCTGGAGTAATTCTTTTCATTTCCTCTTTTAAAAGTATTTATTCAGATGAATGAGTTTGCAGTCAGGATTAACAAGCAATGAAGCACTAAAAAGAAGGCACCAGCACCATAAACGACCACATGCAAGGAAAAGGAGAGTGAATGGGAGAATGGAAACACTTTTTATTGCAGTTATTACTTTAGTTATAGTCATTCTATAATTAGTACTAATTTCTGTGTGCATAATCTTAGACAAATAGTCAAAATACCTCAAAATATAAAGTTCCACCTTATCTAATTCATTCTAAATTTAATTATTTCTTGACAGTACATTGAAATAAGCTCCCAGTCATGAACCCCTCTGAGCTAAGAGGCGGAGGACTTCTCGAACCATGAGACTTTTCAGCACAAATAGCTACATTCATGTGGATATACATCTAAATAAGTAATGATCTTGACTTTCTGGAAAGTTTTCTTTTCAAAAACCAGATAAAACAAACAAACAGCTTAAAGAGATGAAGTATTCCTAGATCAGAAGGGGACAGCTCGTGGTGTGTTTCTGAACTTGGAACATGTTAGTGTATTGAGGAAATTGGAAAGAATATTCGAAGAACAAGTTACCCATTTGTGACCAGCTTCCAGTGACAAGGCAAGAATGTCCTTTGAGCTGCTGCGTGGAGTTGGTGCAGGGTTTGTGGAAAGGATCTTAAAAAAAATTAAAATAAAATCACATTTAAAAACCACTTATCATCCAGTTGCTGTGCAGAGTAACTAAAAATTCAATATATTGTATAATCCAGTCATTTTGAAGACACAAGAACTAAAGTGGGTTTGAAACAGGTTCATATCTTAATAGGGCAGCTCTACGGTGGAGATAATGCTGAGAGCAGAGACTGGGAAGCTTTTGTTAAATCAAGAGTCTGTTGTAGATCGGCTTACACTGGATCAGGTTTACAGATAGCACTAAGTGCATTGTGATGGTACTTATTGATCAACGAAATATAGAATCGTTTCCTCTATTATCTAAAAATGAATAATTGTTTTATAAAAATAGAAACATTAAATCCTAGTCATTTAAAGAGCTGCAAAGAATCAAGCCAGATGCATCAAAAATATAACATTTAAGAACTGGGAATAATTTCATTCACAATTTCACTCTCCGCACTGCAATAGCATTATGCCACTGATTGATTCCTTTCTGTATTTTGTTTAACCAATAAACATATAGCTAAACTTTGCATGAGATAATTACATTAAAAAAATTCAGTTGTACAAGTGTTTGACAGTTAATAGTTTCAAAGAATTCATCAGTCAATTTTGCTAGACCAGAATGTAACTCATTAAAACACAACCCACTGTAAAATCATTAAATGCGCATTCTTAAAGTTACAGTATGTGCAAAAATGTTTCACCTCTAAAAGCCATTTCTATATCACATTAATCTCAAGACTGATAAATATAAAATATGCTGTATGTAATGATCAAATTTCAATCAAATTAACCAATATAAATCCTGGTTAGACCCCACCAGGAGTACTGTGTGCAAATCTGGGCACCACACCTGAGGAAGGATACATTGGCCTTGGAGGGAGTACAACATAGATTTACAAGAATAATACTTGGACTTCAGTGGTTATGTTATGAGGAAAGATTATACAAAGGAGAACTCTTGTATTTTGAATTTAGAGGGTCAACGGGTGATCTGATTGAAGTCTTCAAGTTATTAACAGGAAAAAGACAAGGTAGATAAAAGAAACTTTTTCCATTAGTTTCAGATTCTAGAATGGGGGGGAAATTGTATAAAAATTAGGGCCAGGCTGCTCATGAAAGATATTAGGAAGTACTCCTACACACAAAGGGTGGTAGCACTTTGGAACTCCCTTCCGCAAATGGAGCTGATGCTAGATCAGTTATTAAGTATAAAAATGAGATGGATAAATTTCCTTTAAGCAAAAGGTATTGAGGGATATAGGCCAAAGGCGCAAAGGGCTGAATGACCTACTCTTGTTTCTATATTCCTATGTCTTGCCCCCTTTAGTAATGAATTCTCAATTTACAAAGCCACGTATTGGAGTCATTTGCAAAAGAACTCATTGCAATCTGTGACCTTGACACGCATGTACACATTCACACTGAGTAAGGGACAAACTATGATTTTCTACATGTCTGACACAGGCACAAGCCTGTAAGGATGCCAATGTTATTCTGTACCCTTGGATTTTCAACACCAATACTGTGCTGTCATACATACAGTGTCACTTTGAAATACATGCTAGAATGATTCTAAGCACCAATAAGGTGCAGTACTAGTCATTATATTTATAGATAGGAGACTTCATTGTAACAGCAAATCAGAAATTTCTGCATTACTAACTAGTAGTCTAAACTTAATCCACAACAAATTCTAGAATGAGCAGCCAAACCCACTATGTCACGGCCTGTTTAAATCCATTTTCCCAGATCAGTACAACAGTAAGTACTTGAGATACATCACAGCCTCTCAATAGCTCCTTTCCAGTACATTTACCCAAGCTAAGTACTCCCCAAAACCCATTACTAAGAGGCCTAATCTCAGCTATCAGCTCAGCAGTCTTTTATGGAGCCATTAAAGCATCTCACTTGTTTACAGTGACTGAAATAGCAATGAATTATATCTGTGACAGTATGGCAGTATCAATTAACTGCAATTAGAACACAACAGAGATAAATTTGAGGACAGTGCCAATTTATATGTTCTTCTCGTATGCTATTTGTTTTGAATATTCTCTGTTTCAGTGAACGATTGAAGGACAAGCAAAATCACCTCTATTCTCATTTGTTTGAACCTTCTGCCATGCATACAGCAACAATCTGCAAGTCAAAGTGAAACAGGTGCCAACACAACAGGGTGTACCTGTTGCCGACAATGCCTACAAATGTGAAACTCACTTTGGATTTACAGGTCAACATGGGCTGGCCTTCTAAGCTGAAACATAGATCAGAATCACAGTTCTGTTGAGCTTAATTTAGCGGTATTTGTGAAAACCCAGCATAGCTTGAAATGTTTTATTGGGTGAGGTTCAAATCTTGCACCACAGCTACCTATCTTGCTGCTGAAAATTTCAGCTTTTGAGTGAGTTCCACACTTCAGCTTGATATCCTGTTCAACCCAAGTGCACATCTCCATTAGAGTAACAAGCAACAGAAGATGACAGAATCTTTAAACCAAATCCAGGACACTGACAACTCATCACTGTTTCTAATTGACCAATAGTTTAAACTGGCAGGGTTCAGTAACTTACTGAAGTCCCTTTAAGAATCATATCAACGGTGATAAATGTGTCTTTTTAAACCAAATGCCTGATCTGTATCAGTGAGCCCTTTGTACAGAACTCAGAGTTTGTAATTTTCATACGTGGCTATACTATTGAAAAAGATGAGCAATACATAAAGAGATGCTGTAGTACAAAACCACATTTTGAAAAATGGCATTTAAATGTACAATATTACGAAATACAAGCAGCTGAAGAGGCACTTCGGTTGGCCAAACTCAGCTTGCTGAGATTTATCTACATAAACAATGGAAGTATAACAGTCAAAGGGGCATGGAGTTATACTGCACAGAAACAGGCCCTTCAGCCCAACTCATCCATGCTGACTAGGTTTCCGAAACAGAACTAGTCGCATTTGACTGTGTTTGGCCCATTTACCTTTCAACCTTTTTGATTCATGTACCTGTCCAAATGTTTTTTTAAATTAAATTAATTATACCTACCTCTACCACTTCATCTGGCAGCTTGATCCATATACACACCACCCTCTGTGTGATAAAGCTGCACCTCAGGTCCCTTTTAAATCATGCCCCTCTCAATTTACACCTATGCCCTCTAGTTTTGGACACCCCTAACCTGGGGAAGAGACTTTGGCAATTCACCTTATCTATGCCCCGTGTGATATTATAAACCTCTCAGGTCACCCGTCAGGGTCTTACACTCCAGGGAAAAAAGTCCCAGTCTATCCTGCCTCTCCTTATAACTCAAATCTTCCAGTTTTGGTAACATCTTTGTAAATCTTTTTTGCAACTTTTCAAGTTTAATAACATCCTTCTTCTTGCAAGGCGACCAGAATTGTATTCAATACTCCAAATGTGGCCTCACCAATGTTTTACACAGCTGTAACATGACGTCCCCACTCCTATTCTCATTGCTCTAACCGATGAAGCCAAGCATGCCAAACTTCTTCTTCACAACCCTCTCTGCCTGTAATGCCACTTTAATGGAACGATGTGCCTGTAACCTAGGCCTCTCTACTTGACAATACTCCCCAAGGCCTTACTTTTAACTGTAGAAGTCCTGCGTTGGTTTGTCTCATCAAAATGCAAAACGTTGCATTTATCTGAATTAAACTCCATCAACCATTCCTTGGCTCCCTGGCCCAGTTGATCAAGATCCTGTTTTACTCTTAGATAGCTTTCTTCACTGTCCATTTTATCACCAATTTTAGTGTCATCCACAAACTTACTAACTATGCCTCCTATATTCTCATCCAAATCATTTATATAAATGATAAACAACAGTGGACTCAGAACCGATCCTTGCAGAACACCACTGGTCACAGGCCTCCAGTCTGAACAACAACCCTCCACTGTCACCCTCTGTCTCCTACGATTAAGCCAATTTTGTATCCAATTGGCTAGCTCTCCCTGGATCCCATGTGATCCTGCCTTACTAACCAGTCTACCACATGAAACCTTGTGAAAGGCCTTGCTAAAGTCCATGTAGACAAAGTTTACCACTCTGCCTTCATCCATCTTCCTCGTCACCCCTTCAAATAATTCAATCAAATTTGTGAGAGTATTTCAAATGCACAAAGCCATGCCAACTATCCCTAATCAGTCTTGCCTTTTCAAATGCACACAGATCCTGTCTCTCAGAATCCACTCCAAAACTTACCCCCTATTGACATTAGGCTCACCATTCTGCACTCCCCTGGCTTCTCCTTAGCACCTTTCTTAAATAATAGCACAACATTAGCCACCCTCCAGTCATCTGGCACCTCACCCATGGCTATCAATGACACAAATATCTTTGCTCGGAGACCAGTAATTTTTACTCTTGCTTCCCAAAATGGCCTGAGATACACTTGATCAGGTCCCAGGGATTTATCTATCTTTATGCATTTTAAGACCTCCAGCACCTCCTCTTCTTTAACGTGGACTCTTTTCAAGACATCATTATTTACTTCCCTGTGTTCCCTAGCTTCCATGTCTTTCTCCATGGTAAATACTGATGAGAAATATTTGTTTAGGATTTCACCATCTCCTGTGGCTCCACGCATAGACAATCCTGTTGATCTTTAAGGAGCCTTAAGTTCTCCCTAGTTACTCATTTGCCTAAAATATACTTGTAGAATCTCTTTGGATTCTCCTTTACCTTATTTATGAAAGCTATCTCATGTCCTCTTCTTGCCCTCCTGATTTCTCTTTTTAGTATTAATGGTAAGGTGCTGGGGAGTATTGCTGAACAAAGGAACATTGGAGGGCAGGTTCATGGTTCCTTGAAAGTGGAGTCACAGGTAGACAGGATAGTGAAGAAGGTATTTCGTATGCGTGCCTTGACTGGTCAGTGCATTGACTATATGAGTTGGGAAGTCATATTATGCCTGTACTGAGCATTATTTAGGCCACTATTGGAATACAGCATGCAATTCTGGTCTCCCTGCTACAG